TCTCCTGATTGAGCTCCTATCATCCAGTCATTCGGTCCAGGTCACATGGGTATCGTTGCCATTTTTTATTTTGTTTTTTTTTTCCTGATCTTTCTTTCAGGAAGTATCTTCTATTCCTCTAGCTGCTCTAGGTTGGTGTGCATGTCATTTCAAGTGGGAATGGTACTATACAGTACTATACAGTATAAGAGCTCCGTAAGAAGCCTATTTCACAGGACAAGTTCTAGAACCCCTTTTAGCTATTCCAATCAGTTATAGGCTGAAGACAGGCTTACAGGTTTTCTGTAGTCATGTTTCCCGATATTCCTATCTATCTTACTCAAGTGTCTATTTTACAATAGTAGGTAAGGGAAACCAATATCCATAAGACAGTCAAGCATCTTAACATTATTTCCCCTTTTTTTACCCATTCAGACTATGCCTCGAACCCTGTAACACAGAGTTCTGTTGTTCCAAGGTTGAGCATACATTATTATTTACTTCTGTCCCATTTTAGCCCATGCAAATCTAAGTGTTCCCCTATCTACCTTGTTCTTCCATCCCCCACCCCCTACTGGTGTATTGCCCTCCCCAACACCCAAAATGTGATGTGACTACCCCTAACCTGTGTTGTATCGTCCCCTCCCTCCCATCCCTGGTAGTCAAAAAAGATTTTTATTTTTCTCCCTTTAGTATGGGTATCTTAAGTTTTTACAATAATGGTCTTATGCAATATTTGTCCTTTTGTGACTGACTAATGTCACTCAGCATAATGTCCTCAAGTTTCATCCATGCTATACAGTGATTTGCAGCTTCACTGCTATTCAAGGTAGCATAATATTCCATTGTGTCTATGTACTAAAGTTTGTTTATCCATTCTTCCATTGTTGGGCACTTAGGATGTCTCCATCTTTTCGCTAGCTATTGTGATTAGTGCTGTGATAAGCATTAGTGTGCATATATCTACTCATGTTATGGCTCATATTTCTTGTGGCTATACATCAAGTAGAGAAATTTCTGGATCATAAGGTATTTCTATTTCCAACTTTCTGAGGAAGTGCCATACTGTTTGCCACAGTGTTTGAACCATTTTACATTCCCACCAGCAATGTAGGAGGGTCCTAGTTTTTCCACATCCTTGCCAGCATTTATTGTCCTCTGTTTTTTAGAAGTTTGCTGCTATTGCTAGTGTGAGATGATTTCTCATTATTGTTTTGATTTGCACCTGTACAGGGTCACTATGAGTCAGTTAAGACTCCATGGCGCATAACCACCACCACCACCACCACCACCACCACCAATGGCTAATGACATGAACATTTCTTCATATGATTGTTGGCTGCCCAAATCTCTTCCTTGGTGAAGTGTCTGCTTATGTCCTGTGCCCATTTTTTAACTGGGTTATTTGTCTTTTTCTTGTAGAGGTGTTGTAATTTCTTATAGATTTTAGAATTTAGTCCCTTATCTGGTACATCACTGCAAAAAAATTTTCCCATTCCATAGGCTCCCTTTTTACTCTTTTGGTGAAATCTTTTGATGCACATAGTTTCTAATTTTTAGTATGCCCCAATCATCTATTTTGACTTCTTTGGTTTGTGCAATTCTCACAATGTTTGATAGCCAATGTGTGTCCTGTATTAGAGCCCTTAAACTTGTCTCTGTTTTTTCATTGATGACCTTTATAATTCTGGGATTCACATTTAGGTCTTCAATCCATGCTGAGTTGGTTCTTGTATATGGCATGAGGTAAAGGTCTTGTTTAAATCTTTTGCATACTGATTTACAGTTCTGCCAATACAATCTGATGAAGAGACTATTTCTTCCCCACTCATTGTACTTTGACCCTTTGTCAAAGATCAGCTGGCTGTATGTGGATGGGTTAATTTTTGGATTCTCAATTCTGTTCTACTGATCTACGTATCTTTTATTATACCACTACCAGGTTGTTTTGACAACTGTAGCAATGTAGTAAATTTTGAAATCAGGGAGTGAGAGGCCTCTAACTTCATTCTTCTTCTTAAGCAGTGCTTTGCTTATCCAGAGACTCTTTTTTTCCATATAAAATTTGTAATAATTTTTTCCATCTCTTTAGAGAATGTCATTGGAATCTGGATTGGGATTGCATTATATGTGTAGATTGCTTTGTGTAGCATTTTCACAATGCTAAGTCTTCCTATCCAGGAGCATGGTATATTCTTCCATTTTTTTAACACTCTTTTGGTTTCTTGCAGTAGTGTTTTGCACTTTTCTTTGTATAGGTCTTTTGTTATTCTGGTTAGATTTATTCCTAAATATTTTACCCTTTGGGTGGCTATTGTAAATGGTATTGCTTTCCTAATTTCCTTTTCAGCACTGTCATTAGTACAGAGGAATCTGACTAGTTTTTGTATGTTGATCTTGTATCCTGCCACTTTGCTGAATCTTCCAATGAGTTCTATTAGTTTGTTTGTTTTTTTTTTTGTCGAGTGTTTGAGGTTCTCTATGTATAGGATTGTATCATCTGCAAATTGCGAGAGTTTTACTACTTCTTTGCCAATCTGGATGTCTTTAATTTCCCTGTCTTACTTTAAAGCTCTGTCTAAGACTTCCAACACAATATTGAATAGGAACGGTGATAAAGGGCATCCTTGTCTGGTTCCTGTTCACAAAGGAAAGGCTTTCAGTTTCTCTCCATTGAGAACAATGTTGGCTATTGGTTTTATATATATGCTCTTAATTATACTGAGGAATTTCCTTTCAATTCTTACTTTGTTGAGTGTTCTTATCAGGAATGGATATTGGATTTGTCAAATGTCTTTTCTGCAACAATCAATGCGATCATGTGGTTCTTTTCCTTTTTTAAAATTTATATGGTGGGCTATATTGATTGTTTAGTTAATATTGAATCATTCTTGCATCCCTGATAAGAATCGCACTTGGTCGTGATGTATTATTTTGTGTGTGTTGTTGGACCCAGATGTATTTTGAGTGGCTCAATCTGAGTGGCTCATTTTCCAGCACTATATCTGACAATAGTCTGGTGCTCTTCATCATGTTTCAATATTCAATATTCTGGTGCTACCTGACAGCACTACTGTACGTAAGATTTTCAGTGACTAAATTTAGTAAGTAGTCCGTCGCTCCTTCTTCCTGCTATGTCTTAAGTCTGGAAGCTCAATTGAAACTTGTCTACCATGGGTGACACTACTGGTATTTTAAATACTGGTGGCATAGCTTCCAGCATCACAGCAACATGCAAACTATCCAGTATGACAAACTGACAGACCATTGTGGAGGTCACAGAGGAGGAATTTCAGGTCATAAGAAAGCCTGAGTTTTTACAATATATTGCCAAATTGCTTTCCAAATTGTTGTATCAATTAACAATGGTATCTAAAGCAAAAAGAGAGTACCTGATGCCCTACTTCCTCTCCAATGTTAGGTCCAAGACTTTTACATTTTTGTCAGTCTGATTGGTATGGGATCTCTCATTAGTGGGCATGACAGAGAATCTCTTAATTTTGTTGTAGTTTTATTCTGCATTTGCATTCAGGATTCTAGTCTCCAAACTGTGACAAATTAAATTTCTGCTTGCTAAAATCATCCATCTGTGATCTTTCTATTGTAGCAACACTAGAGAACTAAAACCAGAAGAAATCACATACCTTTCAAAACACACAACAAACTATGAGACAAAGAAATGCAAAGCAGAGGTTGGTAAGGGTTAGGTATAAAGGACCTCGAACATTTTACTTTCAGCTCTCAGTGGGAACTGATGTCTCCTCATCATATTACACACACATCTTTTTGTCTCTAAAGGGTATAAGATCAGAACTCTTTCTTAGGGGGTAAAAATGTGATGACTCTACTACCTGCTTGACAAAGGTACAATAGAAGAGCTTTGTCTCTCCATGTGCAAGTGGAAAGACTTGGAGGGGTGTGATTTTGCTCAGAGATCCTGACTTCCAGAAGCACGCCACTGTTTCCTCTAACAAGTATGATTCTGCCCAGAGCTCCAAAAAGCACACCATTGTTCCCTCTGACAAGTGATATGTGAAATTGGAAGGTGCCAATCTGATAGTTGCTATGCTGCCAGAAAATCACGGAACTGCCTTTTAAAAGTTAATGGCCTTACCATTAAACACATACCAAGTTGTTTGCCAAGGGCTGTCTTGGTGTTGGAGTACTGAGACATTCACACTCTGGGTGGGGAGCCACAACGCCTGTCTACACAAGTCTATCCTAAATGTGAGTGTTTAGTGCCAAGTGGTGACCCATAAGTGGGTGCTATGGAGGTACAGGAGGAGATAAGCAATGACCTAGGACATCTGGTGGGGGCCTTCCTGGGGAGATCTGACCTGCCACCCTTGGGACAACACAGAACTAAAGCAAGGGGACTCTTAACCTTGCCAAATCCCCCCTCAGTCATGCAATGTGAAGAGAAATAAGTGCCCTTTGTCGTTCCAGATTCAGCATGAATCAAATCTGGAATCCATGACAAATTAGAACTTTTAAGGGTTAAACAGATCTTTGTGCCTCTGGAAAAATCACTCCTGAGCAGGACACAAACAAAGGAACTGAGTGCCACCCAGTCTAATGACTTGTCTTACAAACTGAGCTTCTGAAATACAGTAGGCAATGCCAACCACAGGAAAAGGGAACACAGCAGAAGGAGCCATACAGAGGAAGGAGGGGCAGCTGGTGATCTGAACCTTGAGGAAAATGCAGAGGGCACCATCTCGCCCAGCTTCCTCTGGTTTGCCCGTTCCCCTGCCTGAACTCTGGTTGGTGGAGGCACAGAGTACAGGTGGTTAGGGTGGAAAGGAGAATGAGCAGGTAAATCTCTAGGGGTCACGTGGACCTGAGAAGGAGCTGTTGGGTTCAGTGAGGAGTGGTCAGTATGCCATGAGCCTGCAGAACAGGTTTCTAGAGAAAAACATGCACTAGACAGAGAAGCACAGTGTTGAAAGATAACCCAGCTATAACCAGGGAACTGCCTTGTCCCTTTTTACCCACATTATTTCCCCTCTCACCAAAATCACCTTAATCTCTACACATAGAATTGGCCGATGCTCCACAAAATGGTAGGTCTGAAGTCTGGTCAAGTTAGGAAGGCACATAGCATAACCACTGAGAGTGTCCAGGTCCTTGTCACAGCGAGATTCTAGGAAAAAAGAGCAGGGATCACCTGAGAATCAGTGTGACACGGGACAAGATGGAAATCTGCAGCAACCTTAAGTATCAACCTTGGCTCCAACTCCTTGAAGGGGATAGCTAGGGCCTAGGTATGCTCTGCCTGACAGAATTGCCTTTGTTTATCTGGACTTTGAACCATATGGGAGTGGCTTGGCATCCAAGGAGCAAGAGACTGAGATTGATCCTATGGGCAGGTGGCCTTCTCCATATGATGGGACTGGAAGAGCATCCCTGCTGGACAATGCTCCACCAGGAGAGAACAAGGGGAGCTTCACATGGGGCCGCTCCTGGATCCTCCCCTAAGCAGCTCTTTCCTTAACTGTTCTTATCTGAGCTGTTTACTGCTGTAAATCAAAACCATGAGGGTAATGGTTTCCCTTAGGTTTGCTGAGTTCTTCCAGCCAATTATTAAACCTGAAGGTGGTCTTGAAGACTCCTAAACTTGGAATTGTTGTCAAAATGAAGGCAGTCTAGCCTCAACCTGCAACTTCCAGGACTCTTGGAGAGAAAGGAGGCTCCAGCCCAGGATACCACTAATCTAACAAGGTACTCAGAAAAAGTCTTTACATTCCTCTTAAACCAGTGTTTCTTCCAAATATCCAACACCAATCGTCCCTCAGGCCTAACTGTTAGAAATTGCACTGTAGACAAAAGTCCTTCTTCCATAGCAAGACTCATCACAATTTATCAAGACCAGCCAGTCATGTCACTAGTAAGTAGTGTGACTACTAGCTCAAAAGTTGGCTGTTCAAACTCACCCAAATGCACTTCAGAAGACAGCCCAGGCAATCTGCTTCAAAAAGTCACAGCCTTGGAAACCCTGTGGTGTTCTAATCTGCACACATGGGGTCACAATAAATCAGAATCAAATGGACAACTAACCACAGCAGAAAATGACAGATCAAGCCGCACTTGCTGCTGGATAGCGGACTCCAAGAGTACACCTGCAGCTTGTCTTCATCCAGATTAGAAAACGTAGAGCCAAGGCACTGTCCTACTTTGGCTGTGGGCAGCGGCCTCTACCCACTTCCTGGGCCTTTCCAGCAAGGATGACCTGCTCCATACTGCTCCATCCAACCTCAGGCTCCCAGGGCCCTGATGTCCTCTTTGCTCTCTTTTTCTTAATCAAATCAGGAGATTTACATTTGCTATTTATACAACCTGGCTGTGCTTTCTTAAGAAGGCATTTCCATCCTCATCAAGGTCTGCATGTTAAGTCCTCAATCTCTGTCAGTAAGGTCTTTGACTTAGTTACTGATATTCTCGGAACCAGTAAGTGCACAGGAAAGGTACAATTGGTGATGGCAAGAATGTATTTGGTGATAACAAGCAAAATGATCACCACAGAGATTAACACATCTCCTTGGCTCCCTCCAGGAGGATAAACAGGCAAGACTATAGTCCAGTTTCAGGGAGCACGGTCCTGCCAACCTCTAGGATCAAGCCAACCTGTTATTGCTCGTTGACTATAATGACTTCCCTTGATTCTCTCAGGTTTTTACCCTGCCTTGCCCTACTTATAGCTCCTCCAATTCCTTTCTCTATGTTATGACATTGTTTTAGTTAATTCTTGGTCATATACTCTATGATCTGGCGATCTGATATCCACAACTGTATTCAAGAGCTTCCTAGACTTCTCCCACGATGATGACGCTCCAAGCATTATATGCATATTTATAAACCAACCTCACGGCAACAGATTTGATGAGAACACAACATCTACTTAACACAGTGATAATGTCCCTTTTCAAGTGGAATATTTTAAATTATTAACAAATTGATAATTTGAAAAGCCCTTACCTGGTCTTTTGGCCTGTATCTTTAAACAAAGCTGCTTCACAAAATCTAAAGGCAGTTGAACAACTTCCTGTAAGAACAAATATGAAATACTCAGTGTGTGGATCTAGGGAAAAAGAGTCACTTTATGATTTTAAAGGTCATTTCCAGGTGAAGCAAAGAAGCTAAAGTATCCATACATGGAGAACAACAGGCTCTCCTTCCCAGTGCAGCATCTGTCCATGATGAGGCAGCTGGCAACAAGCACCAGTCTAAGCTCCGACGCCTCATCCACACCGAGTGTTTCTTTATGCAACCACTCATGTACCCTCCAGATGCTGAGAGGCAGTGCCTGCTCCACCCTGGCACCAAGACATGCTCACAGAAGCCAGTGTCTGAGGGCACTGGCCTCATGCTGACTCATGGTGGCACAGTGCTAGCATTCTTCATCCCTTTGTTACTTTTGTCCAGGTGGATTGACATTTCCTAGGTAAGATGTAAACAACTTGATTTTTAATACTTTTTCTTTTATTAAAAAACAAAACAAAAACAAACACATTTTCTTTCAGGTATCTAACAAAGGAGGAAAATGCATGATTTCTATAAGAATGGCACTAGCAAAGTGCTTAAGACTCTGCTTAAAGTAAGCTGTTCCATTTTAAATTCTAGTAAGGTCTCTTAAATATTATAAATCATTTTTTCTCTTATTAATGGATGATGTCTTTTATTTATTTTTTTCAATGTGGTTTTTCTGGGGGGGCGGAGGGTGTAGGATTAGGACTATGGCTAGGTCTAGGACTTCATTTACTGTTACGATTAGTACTAGGGTTAGTGTTGGGAGTAGGGGATGGACTAGGGATAAGGCTTGTTCTAGTTTTAGGGCTGTGGGGTCCTGGTGTGGTACTACAGGATAAGCACTGGACCACAAGGTCAGTTTGAACCACAAGATCAGCAGTTCAAACTCACCAGCCACGCCTCAGAAACCCTATTCAGGGTCACTATGAGTTGGAACTGACTTGATGGCACTTAACAACAACAACAGTTTTAAAGGTTACATACAGTTGTTTATTTTTGCTTATTTCTTTTTTTCTTGAAATGCACTTGATTTCCTCTTGATTTGGAAGCACTGTAACTACATTATTCACTTTTTTATTTTATGGTTTTATGATGTTAACTGGTATCTCTGGTTCCCTATTTTCAGTCCTGAAGGTTTTACTTTGACTACTTCTATATCTGGAGTCCTGGTGTGGCTTTGTGGGCTAGTGCTTCAGACTGTAAAGTCATTTGAACTGCAAGGTCAGTGGTTCAAGCTCACCAGCTGCTCCTTGGAAACCCTATAAAGGGTCGGAATCAACTCAATGGAACTTAATAACAACACTCCTATATCTGGGCTGAGTTCTAGGTGATATTGTCATGTATTTTAGTCTCAGGTTCTTTCCTGCTATTATTGTTGGTTTTGTGCCCAAAGAAATCTCTTTAGTATTTTTTGCAAATTCTTTTAATTTCTATTTAATTAGAAATGTCTTAGTTTCATATAATATTTGATGGATACTTTTGCTGGGTATATGACTCCTGGTAGGTCATTTTTTTCTTTCAGACTTTTATGTATGTTACTCCATTGTCTTCTTGCCTACATGATTACTGCAGTCTAATTAGTTCTCCTTTGTAGGTAATGTTTAGTTTTTCTGAGCTGCTCTCAGGATTCTGTCCTTGTCTTTTGTTTTGAAAAGTTTGATTATAATGTTGTTGTTGTTGTTAAGTGCCATTGTGTTGGTTTTGATTCACAGGGTTCCCAAGGAACAGCCAATGGGTTTGAACCACTGACCTTGTGGTTAGCAGTAAAGTGCTTATCCCACAGCACCACCAGGACTACAACATGATTATAATACATCTTAGTTATTTTCTTTTAAAGTCTATCTTATATAGGGTTTGTTCAGCTTCTTGAATGTCTTGGTCCTCATCTATCATAAGGTTTAGGAAGTTTTCTTCCAACAACTACTGGGCAATTTTCTTTATACCACTTTTTTGTTTGTTTGTTTTTGTCTCTTCCTATTTTGGAATTCTGATTACATGTAATTCCTGTGATAGTGTCCCACATAAAGTTCAGGCTTTCTTTAAATTTTTTCATTCTTTTTTCCTGATTGTTCCTGATTGTTCCTCTAGCTGGTGAATACTGAGAGGTTTGTCTTCAAGTTCAGTAATTCAGTCTTCTACTACTTCAGTCTTCTACTACTTCTTCTACTACTTCAATTCTACTACTTTGCTCTTCCAAATATCTATTTCTAAAGTGTTAGTGCAGCCAGAGTGCTCCTTGGAGGCCAAGATGGCCAAACTTCATCTCTCATACTTCAGACATATTGTCAGGAGGAACCAGTCGCTGGAGGATATCATGTTTGGTAAGGTGGAGGGTCAGAGAAAAAAAGGAAGACCTCCAATGAGATGGATTGGTCAAGTGGCAGCATCGATGGACTCAAGCGTAGCAATAGTAGTGAGGCTGGCCCAGGATCAGGCAGTGTTTCATTCTGCTGTGTGCATAAGTTTGCTATAAGTCGGTACCGACTCAATGGCACCTAACAACAACAACAAAGTGTTAGTATTAATTTTGTGGCTAGTTTCTGTTTTTGTACGGTTTCTAATTTTTCATTAATTCTGTCAGCTTGTTTTCTGAATCCTTCTAAATGTTTTATATGTATTTTCCTTGATTTCATCTGCAGTTTTCTCAATCATCCTCTCTAAATAGTATTCTCTTAAATTCCTTATTACATAGTTCACATACCATTTCTGGCATTATATTCTCCTTTCTTTCTTTTTTGGATAGTTGGAGTAAGGAGTTAGGGTTATAACTATGGTTAGGTCTAGGGCTAAGCCTGGACTTCATTTACTTCATTTAGTATCAGGGTTATGGATATGACTAGGGGTAAGGAATGGCTGGGCTAAGGGCAGAAGTAAATCTTGGCTACTTTAAGGGTAACAGGTTTGTTTTTTCTTTCTTTCTTGAAATGTATTTGGAAATTTTATAACTACATTATTCCCTCTTTTTAATTTACATTTTTTGTTATAGTTACAGACTGTTATGTCTGATTCCCTATTTTAAGTATTAAAGGTCTATTTTACTTTGAATACTTCTCTATCTGGGTTGAGTTCTAGATGATATTGTCATGTGTGTTAATCTCAGGTTGTTGTCTGCTATTTTCGGTTCTCTGTCCAAAGAACTACCTTTAG